GGGGGGGGGGGGGGGACGCGGAGGTGTCACAATGGACTGGCAACGACGGGATGGTGTGGGATTTAAATGGGCTTTTGGTGGTGGATGAAAGTCATTGCTGGTCATAGAGGGTGATCGTGGCGGGATAAGGTGAAGCTGAGAGGGTTTGTAGGCTGAGAGCTGTGGGGACAAATATGTTTGACCCTCTATGACGGCCTAGGCAATATAACTCCGCCTTTTCTTGTCATTTATTCCAACTACAGGGCTTCTTACTTTACAGTTGAAGAAATTTATAGAATATATTATTATGATCAATTTGGGGGAGATAGAACTTGAGAAGTCTTTAATCCCCATTTTTTTTCTTAGAATTCTTATTTATTGAATTGCATTTTAAGTTATTATCCAATGACATTCTGCCACATATCTCATGTAACAATTCTTCAACCCACTAATTAGCTACAACTCATTTTATACTTTAAAAAAAAATTCATTTATATTACACAAGAATTTCTTGTAATTCTTCAATATCCAAGAAACATACAAGGGCATACACATGAAACATACAAGGGCATCATCAAAATATTTTGGAGTGGGATCTCTTCTAATACATTTTCTTCTAATTTTTTTTAATAGATAGATCTTTCATCGTATATAATTTGAGACCCACTTTTAATTAGTGGGTCGTACAAGCATTAATGGCTGGAGATCTATCCTTTAAAAAAATTGAAGAAAAAGGTAATAGAAGTGATTTACATCCAACTATTTTTCAATAACATTTTATTTTCAGTTATTTATCGTTTTCCTTTATACATTACAATAAAGTTTATTTTAAGCAAATCATATATGATTTCCTTCTATGTCCAACACCAGCACTTATATGTTGGAGACTTTGTAGGTATTCGTCACAGACTTGCCACGTAATTCTTCAGAATAGTATTTTCTCATGAAGTCTGAGAGTGTGAATTTTTCGTAAACAGCCGGCTTCTCTAGTGACACCAATTCTAGTAATGGTTCAAACGGTTTCTCTGTCATGCTTGAAGTGAAGAAAACTGGGATTGAGACACGTGCCTCACGGTAAGGGTTGGCCAACACTCGATGCTCCACACTTTTGTATTCACCGTTGGACATCATCTGCAAAAGAGAGTTAAGTGATTCTTATGTATTTTATTTTTTATTTTTTTGTGGTCGTTGACTTTAAAAAAAGAATTAATAGTATTTTTTATCCTTAAAGTATATATATATATATATATATATATTTGTCAATTTAGTCTTCATTATATTAATTTTCTCAGTTTGATGATCCATAAAATATTCAATTGGTGTTATATAGAGAAATCGTTAAGTTTTTGACGGAATGATAATGTATTGGGCACATAATACCATATAAAAAAATAACATATGATCATTTCTGTCAAAAAACTTGACAGATTGTCTGATTAAGAATCAAAGTAATAGAAATGAAATATTTTATGAACAAAATTGATACAATGAGGACTAAACTGATAAAAAATACATATTTTAAAAATAAAAAATACTATTAACGCTTAAAAAATATGTGTTTAAATTCATCATTAGGCGCATATGTTTAAAAAACATGTTTGTATTCATCATTGGACTTATATGTTTGTTTTTCATTTCTTTTTAAATCTTTTTTTATCTTCAATCTCAGATGAATTTCTATGAATTCCATGTGCACAAATTAATAATGGTTGTCCAATACCTTCTAAGGCACAACCACTTCGTTCACGTGATTGAGTGACTTACCTGAAGTATATCACCAATGTTGACAATCAGACCACCGGGGATAGGTTCCACATCAATCCAATCCTCACCGTGTTTCACTTGCAACCCAGCAACCTCATTCAGCAACAACACCGTCAAGACCACCGGATCCGTATGCCACTTGAGACCCACCGTCAACTCCGGCTGGGGACAATACGGATAGTAATGTCCAGACATATACCTCGTATCAAAAAATGACATTTCCTTCAACCGTTCTCTCTCCACCCCCAATCCCTCACACAACATCCCCATCAACTCCTCCCCCAACTTCACCACCTCTCCGTCCCACTCTGCTAGTGCTTCCCTGCATACCTCCGGAACGTACTCTGGTTCTGGAGGTGTGGGACCCAAGCGAATCTCGAGTGAGTTCCTCCAATTAGCTTCCTTGCACTTGTACAAATCAAAGTTAGTATAGTAGGCTACACCATGAGAGGTGTCCCTACTATAATATTGCATCCTAGTAGTATCTGGTAATTCATGGAAAGACTTGATAGATGAAAGCATATGGTCCATGGCAGTTTTTGGTATGCCATGGTGGGTTATTTGGAAGAACCCAATGGTTGAGGCGGCGTGACGGATCTGGTCAACCACTATTGATCGGGTGCTAGAGAGGTCGATAATGGGTAGTGATATTTTGGGGTTTCGAGTTAAGGGTTTTGGATTTGGCGAGTTTTGGGGTGGATGGTGGAAGATGCGAGGGATGGTGGTGAGGCCAGAATCAACGAGGCCTTTCACTCCTATTTTGGATTCATCTAACTTCTTCGCTTCTTCGAGTCTGTTGTAGTGTTGGTCTGGATTGGTAGTGGTAGAGGTCGCCATTTTTATGTTTATGGTCTTTCTCTCACTACGATTTAGAAAATGGATAGGATGTAAGAAGTATGTGGGTGTTGCATGTGAAGCAAAGGGAATAGGTGCGCTTTCTATTTATGGTGGAGAATCGTTGAATATTGAGATTACATTACCAATAGCAAATTTTATATTATGATCCTTCAACCATGTGTTTTTTTCACACTGTCCCCTCTACTATTATATTTCTCACGTTGTAGCACAAAGTAGAATATTGATTCTACATTGCCCCCTTAACTATTGGTTTTCTTATTTTGCACCATAAAACTATAACTATTGATTTTCATTGCACAAATTGTAGACATTGGAAATTTATATTATCCTATAAATCTTGTCCTTTGTTTTATCCAAAATATGATGGGCATTTGACTTGGGGGTTGTGTCATATAAATTCAAATAGTTAAGAGAGCAACATGAGAAAGTCAATACTTGAAGGGGTAAAGTGAGATTGGACCCATAGAAGGGGAGGAAAAATATAGTTTGCCCTCAAAACAACTATTTCATATTCAATTGTCTTCCATATTAAATAAGCATTTGACTTTTGAGGTTTGATGTCAGCTTTCATATTGCAATTATTTCTTACTCGACGATTGAATGCGTAAATTATTGATTGTCGACTTCCACAAACGTTTCGGTTTAGTTCTGTGCAGTAGAAACGATAAGACCAGGTGGGATAGAAAATAAGAAGGATGCATTTTTTATCCTTCAAGAAAGAAAAATGGAAATGATATATTTTGTTTCTTTTGTGTTTGATACGATGGATGGAAACCCTATAATTTTTGAATTTTTTTTGAAAACTCTAGAAATTTTTAGTTTTTATGTTGTGATTAGTTAGAGTTTGTTAATGAAATCGTAATTTGAATCTTTGATTGTGGGTTTGTTTTGCTTATTGAATTTTTACTTTCAAATGATTGGTTTTAGGGTAGAGTTAGGTGTTTGCTTGGAAAATAGTGAAATTTTAGGTTGCAAAAATTCCCAACTTATTTGCATCTTATGCTATGAATTGGTTTTCAAATTGATTAATGTGGGTCTACTTGATTATTCAATCCCTTGCAATGGATTGGTTTAAAGTTGATTGATGTGAGTGTATTTAGATCAATTCAAGGGTTGGAACGATGGTATTTTCACTTTTCTTTTATAATGGTTTATTCCCTTTTGACTTTCTTACTAATGCTTCAGCCATCCCTTAATGAGAAGTGTTGCAAGTTGCGAGGCATGTTGCACTTTATACGGTAATTTAAAATTGAGTAATTTTTCCCCTTAAGTTAACTTATGAAATAAACAAAAAGTTTAAAATTATTTTTGTACCCTTAGCCTTTATTGTTCTCCATTTTCTTTCTTTTCTCTTTGACCAATTGAGCCAAAAGCTCCAACCCCATCAACCACAAACCATCATAGCCACCACCCAAACACCCAGCTATTATCATCCAGCAACCAAATACCAACCAAATCGACACATCATAAGCACTGTAAATACTCCACATCAACCACCACCAAAACTCTGACTCCATATATTCAACACCCAACACTGAATAGAGCTCCACTTTTGCCAAACAAGTTCACATGTAACAAGTTCATTTTTCTACTGTTGTTTTGTGGTTGTTCTCTTGTGGTAGACCATGTAGGGCAAACAAGTGGCAGCCATTGGTGCCTTCACGGTTTTCCTATCTCATGTTTGACCTAGTTTTTGATAAAAGACATGTTAGGAGACAAGGACAATGAGATTTCAACCCCAAACCTAAATTTACAATTTTTTTTATTTTTTTTTAAATTGTCCCGAGTGTCAGGGCAGGTTAGGTGTAACTCGACTAATTTTTTCTTTGGTCTGATCAAAGACAGGAATAAATATTCAATGTAACGGTGATACCATGTGTTGATCGGTAAAAAAATTATTATTAATAATGAATGTCGGTGATGAATGCGTGATTTATTTTCCATAAGGTATTTATACAAATCCGCATCATTTGAAGAGTCTCCAAACTAATTTCTTACCTCTTAGATTTGTTCTCATAGTCATGGTTAAAATTAATTATTATTTGGTGGATCCTCATTATAAAAAAAAATTAAAATCAATTAAGTGACTGATTTAGAAAATTAAAATATGAAGACATGTGCCAAACACGGCCCTTGCCTATCGTCCCACTAGTGGTGGTTATGGCCCTTATGGGTAGTTTCTTCAACATAAACTTGTCCATCAAAGAAGTGTGGGGTGAGAGGAATGTGCTGGCAGCTTTAATCAAATGCTAGCTACTTTTACATGCAAAAGAAAAAANCTTAAAAAATATGTGTTTAAATTCATCATTAGGCGCATATGTTTAAAAAATATGTTTGTATTCATCATTGGACTTATATGTTTGTTTTTCATTTCTTTTTAAATCTTTTATTATCTTCAATCTCAGATGAATTTCTATGAATTCCATGTGCACAAATTAATAATGGTTGTCCAATACCTTCTAAGACACAACCACTTCGTTCACGTGATTGAGTGACTTACCTGAAGTATATCACCAATGTTGACAATCAGACCACCAGGGATAGGTTCCACATCAATCCAATCCTCACCGTGTTTCACTTGCAACCCAGCAACCTCATTCAGCAACAACACCGTCAAGACCACCGGATCCGTATGCCACTTGAGACCCACCGTCAACTCCGGCTGGGGACAATACGGATAGTAATGTCCAGACATATACCTCGTATCAAAAAATGACATTTCCTTCAACCGTTCTCTCTCCACCCCCAATCCCTCACACAACATCCCCATCAACTCCTCCCCCAACTTCACCACCTCTCCGTCCCACTCTGCTAGTGCTTCCCTGCATACCTCCGGAACGTACTTTGGTTCTGGAGGTGTGGGACCCAAGCGAATCTCGAGTGAGTCCCTCCAATTAGCTTCCTTGCACTTGTACAAATCAAAGTTAGTATAGTAGGCTACACCATGAGAGGTGTCCCTACTATAATGTTGCATCCTAGTAGTATCTGGTAATTCATGGAAAGACTTGATAGATGAAAGCATATGGTCCATGGTAGTTTTTAGNTAGTAGTATCTGGTAATTCATGGAAAGACTTGATAGATGAAAGCATATGGTCCATGGCAGTTTTTGGTATGCCATGGTGGGTTATTTGGAAGAACCCAATGGTTGAGGCGGCGTGACGGATCTGGTCAACCACTATTGATCGGGTGCTAGAGAGGTCGATAATGGGTAGTGATAGTTTGGGGTTTCGGGTTAAGGGTTTTGGGTTGGNACTATTGATCGGGTGCTAGAGGGGTCGATAATGGGTAGTGATAGTTTGGGGTTTCGAGTTAAGGGTTTTGGATTTGGCGAGTTTTGGGGTGGATGGTGGAAGATGCGAGGGATGGTGGTGAGGCCAGAATCAACGAGGCCTTTCACTCCTGTTTTGGATTCATCTAACTTCTTCGCTTCTTCGAGTCTGTTGTAGTGTTGGTCTGGATTGGTAGTGGTAGTGGTCGCCATTTTTATGTTTACGGTCTTTCTCTCACTACGATTTAGAAAATGGATAGGATGTAAGAAGTATGTGGGTGTTGCATGTGAAGCAAAGGGAATGGATAGGATGTAAGAAGTATGTGGGTGTTGCATGTGAAGCAAAGGGAATAGGTGCGCTTTCTATTTATGGTGGAGAATCGTTGAATATTGAGATTACATTACCAATAGCAAATTTTATACTATGATCCTTCAACCATGTGTTTTT